ATGTTCGCACCGTTTCCGTAGAAAAAGAAAAGCAATCTCTCATGGCGCTGAGTCTCCAAGTCCCAGGACTCATTAACTTCCTTAGTGACCGGCTACGGACAAATTCTTCTTAAGTTGCACATGTGTCTAGCTCATATGGTATCATTATTTCAAACTCCCTTATGGTGTATTGGATCCTTTCTGATTGGAAAACTCCCAGAGGAGTTCTTAGAGGTATTCGAGGACATCTCAATGTTTGGCATGAAAAGCGTTGCACTTTTCTGCTTATGTAACTGCAAAGCTTCTTCTTATCCGATGGTTTAAAACTCTAGTTTGATTGAAGTCATACCATGCTTTTGGCTGTTGGTTAAGCTGTAAAATGCTAGCTGCTGAGAAATGTAGTAGATTAGTCCAAAGATGTCAGATTCTCTTATCTCAATAATCAAGCTGCAATTCTCATGAGAGCGTCAATTTTCCGAAATGTGTGGTTTCTTGAGACAATCTTGTCGAAACTTCAGTAGAATTATGCGTGGAAGCGGATGTAAATTAAGTGGTTCACTTTGTATCATCCGGATTATCCCACTTGATCATCGAGCTCTATCGACGAGACTAAAGTTGAATACTTATCCTCATCTCTTTGCACCTCAATAAGTCATTTCCAAGAGCTTGGTTTCTCGAAAGCTTCAAGACTTTTGTGAAATGCAAACTTATTACAATTGAGAGCTATCTTTTACTAATAAGTTACATTTTTCTTGTAGTGATAATTCTTGTGTCTCAGCCTTATTCAAACTGAACATATAATCGGTCAAATTCTACCACATTCAAATTGTCCATTCTGTTTCCATCTGAAGCTAAGAGGATGAATGGAGATAGATTATTCGTTTTTGCGGCTTACAAGCCTTCTCATTTCCTTTCTTCGTTTTTAGCCCGGCACCTCAATTCGCATTTTTTCAACAATTTAAGCTACAAAAATTCCGCTGGAATTGCTTATAATCACCCTGGCACAATAGCTCAAATTGCGTCACAATAGGCGTTTGCCTAATCTTCAAACGGCTTCAAGCATGCAGAGCTTTTTTCAATTCCAAAAATTGTCCAATTTTCACTTTCGCTCATGTTTCCGTCATCACTGGAAACTGGAAGCCTTGCAATGGCTGCCTACCTCATCGGCGCATATGTCTCCAACCAAGGACTTTGTGGCGCTATAATCTCTAACATTGCTGAGAACTCTTTTTCTGCTATTTGCATGTAGGATCACATTAACAACATGATATTCGATCCCTAGAATTTCTTAGAAATGGCATACGTGGCTCGAAAAAATGGCAGCTGTTGTGGAAAATGACAATGTTCTCGCTAACAAGCATTGACAGCCTTGAAATTGTTTCTACTTCTCAGTTAATGGCTCAGTTCCTTATTCGTAATTCTTTTTATGCAAGTCCTAAAAATTTCTACTCTTCGTATCACAACCACCAAAATGACAAAGATCCGCTACTTCTCTTATCGGAAGTGAAATAGCCGATCAAGAATTCTAAAGAGGATTCTTAATCCTAAGCTCATTGAGTACACATGTGTAGTTCTTCCTTACGTCATGGACTTTACGTTCCAGATTTTTATTGAAGAATCATTAGTGGATTTCCAACACATATCATGTTGACTGCACTCATTTGGAGTCATAGTTTTGCGTTTCCATGATAGCTCACGGTGAGTTCGTGAATATGGCTAGATTACCTTTTGAGAGCTTCAATTAAGCATCTTGTGAAAAATTGCACTAAAACTCAAACAGAAATTACCCATAAACTCAGCTCGATGTTGATTCATAGAAATTGGCCTCAATACCTTCTTAAACTATCTCGTAAACCTGTGCCATCTAGTCTTCTTGGATTTGCCTTACTAATTCTGACCTTGTTATTCTAATCTCATTGCCAAAAAATCGCCCTGTACTGCACAGGATTAGAATCATCTATTGGGTTGTCTCATAATTTTTTTCCGACTACAACATTCAAAATCAATTTTTCCCCGAGTCGAGAGCATTTACAAGGTCACAAATATATGATCGTACTTTTGAATGTATAAATTATATTCGAATGCGTGGAAGGACACCGGGACCGTCAGGAGGCGCAGTTTGCCTTTTTACCTCCACATTTTTTCCTTTACCAACGGAAAAACTAGGATTTGTATGACAAACTGCCTGATCCATCAATTATTTACTTCGGTTTAGAAGCTGTAAACTTCACATGGATTATGAATTAAGCAAATGCTCGATCCATCTTGTAGGTTCCTCTTGTAGACTTACTTTGCTCTACCTATTAGTAGCCAAGTTCCACTCAGTAGAGGGAAGAAACAGAAAGACTATGATTCTTGTCAAATCGTAAAATTATTATATAATGAGACAACTTAAAAGTTTGCTGTTCATACTATGACCTCAGGACTTTTGCTTTCTCTTATCACTATCACTCACGCAAAAAGTAGCTTGTGATGTTACTTATATAAACTCAAACCTCTAGAGATTTAGTTGGAAATTCGATTATCTCTGCTGCTCACCATACAAAACAACAATGCTTTTTTCTGCGCGGCCATTGAATCTCTTGAAATCATTCCCAATTTTTCACTTACAAAGCCATTTATGCTGGAATATGTGCAAAGTAATTCGCACGATAGTAGCTCACAAGTTTTTTGCCATCTAAATGTATCTACCGTATGCAGCGCATTCTCTTTGGGTATCGTTTCGAAGAAACGATTAACAGCAAAGAAGGTTACAATCCGGAACCATTTTCTTTTCAATGAAAAAATGCTAGCAATTATCTAAAAGAATTGTACAAGGTTTTTTATCTCCTTTTTTAAAAAGTCTTCCTGCATTCATTGCTTCCTTATTTAAGCCCGAGAATTGCTCCATTGTTGAGCGCCATTTTGGTTAATTCGTTTGCTTTACGGAAGTCTCTTGCTATAAATTTTTGTTAACATAGGTGAGCCTTTTAAGTGTGCTTTGGTGATCTTAAACAGATTATGTTGTAGACATAGCAAACATACTGAACAGACTAATTGCTCTTTATTGAGCATTCGAAACTAATTAATTTGATAAAGCGTGGGTGACTAAACTCGTCATGCAGTTATCAACAAAGAAAATCACATCAGAATGCACAGAAGCGCAAACGCGCGATTTCCTTTATCGGAGCCAGTGACGAATTTGTTTCCATTCACGCTGCTTAGCGATATTTTGTCCAAATCCGACTTGAAAACACGTCACAGCGAATTTGTGCGACGTCCTGCTGCTGTACTACGCCATTCTTCGAATCTTTTTACGCTAATCTATTGGTTTTTTCTAGAATTCTCAAGGTGGATTTGGCATGCGATCGCGGTTTTTCGATGTCTTCTTCTGGAACCTATAGACATAAACTACGTGTAGAGATCCTAGGTTTCTGAGCTTTTCCAAAGTAGCATTTTCAAAATCTATTAGGTTGATGCATAATTCCTGCACCAAAATAGGTACAGACCGCAATAACTCGGAGTAATCCTATATCCCAAGTAGGATTCGATATACCATTAGATAGCGCAAACCTAGCTCTACAAGATCGTGCTCAAATATTTACACCAGTTTTGATCCTCGCGAAGTTTTGAGCCAAAAATTGAAAAAAACCATGCGTCTGAAAACCTTAAGACAGATCTTAAAAAATTGTAACTTCGTTCAAAAAGCTCCTAGTAAATTTCTTTCTTGCACACGCGTAGACATTCTACGCATCACATCTATCTAAGCGGTTCCTGTATTTTTTGCTCAGCTAGACGATGAGAAAACGAAGTTTTTCATGTTTTTTCCAAAACAATGCTGAGATGTTCTAGCACTGACAGTTGTATACTACAGGACCTTAGAAGCGTGAATGTGAATTTTCAGCTTTTTACAGCAACTGGTTTACGAAAAATATCGAATTTTTGGCACTTAGGCAAGAAAAATTCGGATGAACAGAGCTAGATTCGTCATTACTCGTGATCTAGCTGTTCTAGAAGGCTGAAAATATAAAGTTTGACTGCTAATGGCATGTACTATACAACCGCTAATGTTAGAATATCTCAGCACTAATTTGGCAAAAACATGAAAAACTTCGTTTCCTCATCGTCAAGCTGAGAAAAAAATACAGCAACTGCATAGATAAATGTGTTATGTAAAACGTCTACGCGTGAGCAAGAAAGAATTTTTGTAGGAGCTTTTTTAACGGAGTTACAATTTTTTTAAGATCTGTCTTAAGATTTTCGGACGCATGGTTTTTTTCAGTTTTTGGCTGAAAACTTCGTGTGAATCAAAGCTGGTGTAGATATTTGAGCACTATCTTGTAGAGCTAGGTTTGCGCTATCTAATGGTATATCGAATCCTACTTGGGATATAGGATTACTCCGAGTTATTGCGGTCTGTACCTATTTTGGTGCAGGAATTATGCATCAACCTGATATTAAGCTGGAAAGAGAAGACTGCCGTTTTTCATGGGAAAGCAACAAGATGATTCCGAAAAATGTATATCTTTCAATAGAGCGAAGCAAATTATACAAGATAACTGTACACTTTACCATAATCCATTAAAAAATCGGCGAAAATTGGTTCCTTGCTAAAAAAAATACAGGAATTTCTTATTTACTTCCGAGTGTAGCAGATGCATACGCTTATCCATAATGAGCACGCTCTGTTTTTCATTAGATTTCGAAAAAAATTGATGTTGGAAAATAGGTAAATTCGCTCCATGGCAGTCTTAAGTGCCTACGTATGAGCAGTGGTATACCAGCAACATTCAGAACTTCGACCATATAATTTCGGCCTTGCTAGTACTTTAATTTTGGAAAATATCATTATAGCAAAAGAAAACTCGGAGAAATGGCATTCAGTCCTTTCCAACCTATTAGATTCTTCTCTTAACCTTTAGAGCACTCACTGGGACCCTGAAAAGCTACCAATATTTGCGAGGCCTCGAGTCTCGGACATCTCTATTTTTCAATAATATGCATTTGGCATAAAGGATACCCAACTACTCCTCGTGTTTCAGTGTTATGTCAGATGTGAAACGATCGTTACTGGATATGAGTCCTGGTGGAAAAACAGACGACGAAGAGGAACCGTCCGAGGACGAGCTGGTCGAGTCCAATGAAACCTTTGCGGAGTTCTGTTCACGTAAGCTAAAACAATTCTACACTTATACCAAGAAATTATAATGTTTTGATTCCTCAGAGCTAGGCCCATTTATCTCGTGCTTTTCTGGTTTTTCAAATTACTGAACTCCAAACCGGAACCAATTTTTCTGAACACCTGCTTCTGTTATATTCTTGTTTACCCCTTAGTACTGATAACTCTTGGTTTCTTTTTCTGTAATTTCTAAGGATTACTCAATTGCCAATGACAAGTTAAAATGAGAGTCATACACCCAAATAATTCAATCCCTCTCTCCTAAAAAAATTGCAGTAACATGATTTTTTCGTTGCTTGCTTAAGTTTTTTCTTGAGAACTTTGTCGTCGCTATTACTCAAGAAAAAATTTTTCATGAGAAATTCAATGCAATTTATGTAAGATAGACTCTCCATTTCACGACTTCTTATATGTTCCCCAATGATGTAAGCCTGCAGAAGTAATCTGACATTTAAATAATGTTCAACATTTTTCTTACGATTATTTGATAACATAGGCAAATTTCCTCTAGATTTTGTAATCCAATCAGCTGATTTGCTTACAGGACAAGCTAGGAATGTTTTGCATTTCCTGGTAGAGGACTGGTGTCTCTCTGCACTTCTTGGAGTAATCACAGCTGTGCTTTCGGTTGGCATGGATGTCGCCATCGAAGTGCTTCAGCACGGTAAGAACTGTTTTCAAAGGGTTATTACACACTGTAAACTCGACCATGGATGTAGTTGTTGTCATTGTTTCAACGCATGATCAAAAAATTCTAGAAAACTTGAGCTGGTCAGAATCGTTCGTTAAAAATTGCGTGCCTTCAAGAAAGAAAGAATTTTCACTCTTTTTCTTTCGTCCTATCTAATGATTATTCATATGGTCGTTCATTAAGACCACTGCGAGAATTTTTCCCAAATTATCTGCAAAAAATCTTACAAAAAGTTCTTGATCGTTTGTTCTTAGCTTTATAGGAAGTGATTTGAAGCAAATCATATAATGTTGCAGAAGAATAAAGCGAAAACTTCTTACTTACTGATAAATTTTTTCAGCTCACGTTGTACTATACGAGTTATGTTTACAAACTTCTGCGTACTTAGCTTTTTTCTCATGGATTTTTCATATCGTCGCGTTCACAGCCCTTTCCGCTGTATTTTGTCAGATAGTCTCCAAACAAGCCGTAGGTGAGAATCATATAGAACCGACTAAGTTTACACTGCTCAAGCTTTCCATATTTAGGTTCTGGGATTCCAGAAGTAAAGGTGATCATGCATGGATTCAAAATGGATAATTACTTAACATTTCGCACGCTTATCGCCAAAATGGTGGGACTGACGTTGGCGATGGGAGGTGGATTACCCATTGGGAAAGAAGTAAGTGGAAATTACATCTACCATGGAAGGAAAACTCCGAGTGAATTTTGTCGGATATAGGCTTGAGATTCCATTTTTTGATGTTGACTCAAACTTCCACTTGGTAACAAAATCACCCTTTGATTCAACGAGATCAGCAGCTGGAAGGCGACCGCTCGCATCCGCGGTGCAGCCTGCGTCTCTCTCGCGAGCGTGATCCCCGATCATTCTCTAGCCTTAATTAGGTCACGAAACCCCGCCTTAGCCGCCAATCCAGTTGAATCAAAGGTAGCATTATCCAACTAGATCGTACTAGTTACCACTGCATTCGATCATCATTGCAAACAACATCCTAAACAAAATTCATTGTTTCACTTAGACTAAAAAATCAATCTTGAATGACATAAAACGAATTTCCCTACTTTTAGGGTCCCTTTGTCCACATGGGTGCAATAGTTGCCACCTTACTTTCCAAAATCACTGCAACCTGCCAATACTCTGCGTTTTTCTCAAACGAAGGCCGGGAAATGGAAATGCTCAGCAGTGGCTGTGCTGTAGGCATAGCCTGCACATTCTCAGCTCCAATTGGAGGTAAATTCCAGAAATTGTCGCAAAAAGAAGAACAGGTCCAAAACGAACTCAATTTCAGCTGTACTTTACGCCATTGAATCCACTTCGAAATATTTTGCTGTAAAAAACTACTGGAGAGGTTTTCTGGCTGCAACTTGCTCAGCTATTGTCTTCCGATTTGCAAACTTTTTTGTCACTGCAGAACAATCGGGTAAGCGGGTAAACTTCTTTTGGTTTTGAACTCAGTTGCCTATTTCAAATAGTATATTAGCTATTAACTATGTAGAGTCTGTCTTCAGTTTCCTATGTACTTTTAACCCTTTCGGACCTGACTTTTTGCCTCTGAGAAAAAAATTCTTTTTTTCATTGATTCTTACTCATGGGCACATAAATAACACTTCAGATAAGTTTGGAAAGTTTTCGACCATACAGTAAGAAAATACAAAGTGGTGGCATTTGCCACCAACAGGCTTTAGTGGAACCACTTTTATTACACCTCACTCATTTACAATGGAAACTTTTGAAGCAATTTCTATGTTTTGTCAAGCAAAGATGAACGTTACATTTCTCACACTGAACTCGTGATCGTCCTTCACATGATTCCAGTTTACATCGTTGTTCGTTACCGTCTTCATGTATTGGCCAGTGTCCGACGTTGTCGTATCTGATGTCGTTCACAGGTCTCAAGCTGGGCTTCAAGCGTTTTGCTGGAACGGTATTCATAATATTTGGAGAGTTGGACAGTGGTCTTCCTCGTTTTGATACATTTGCATAACCAGAGAACGCTAGGCCTTCGGCAATTTCCACAGTGAATTGCAGCAGATCTTTTCCGATTTCGCTCTTCTTTTTCAAGTCACGCTGATACTCTATCCATGAGTTGCACACTGCCAAGTTGAAATAATGGAATATGACGCGTAATGTCCATTTCTTCGAGCGAACAAAAGTACGATACAGCGCAATCAAAAAATCATTTTTATCGACTCCTCCCATGGAACTGTTGTAATACCGTATGACGGTGGACGTGTGATCATTCTGTATTCACCGGCTTTCCTATCCCACCTTTTCACCTCATCCTGCGGATCAATTCCAACGAAGTTTGACGCGACGTTTACCACCTTATTGTCGTACCAACGAACAGCGATAAGTTTGCCGTCTTCAGTGACGAGAGAGTCAGAACTGCCTCGGCCAAGTTTTTGCAGCTCCTTTTCCGACTTCAGGGGGCACTTTTGCAACCTGCTATTTCGTATTACTCCTGCGCTAAAGATTCCTCGCTCCAACAGTTCGCGTAAAAAGCAGTGATGTGAAGTAGTTGTCGCAGAATAACTTGTGGCCACGGTGATTTGGAATTCGCTTCGAAAGATGAATGACCAATCCATTCGTAGCAGAATATCCTTCAACCAGATCTTCAGGAAGTGTAGTCGAGCCTTGATATACAACCGAGCGGTAGATTATGCCAGAAGCACCGCAAAGCATAAATACTTTGACTCCCCATGGGTTCAGTTTGCCTTTCATATATTGTTTGATGATAAGCTGCCCTTTGAAAGGTATGATTGATTCGTCTATGCAGAGGTTTTCTTCTAAATCCAGTTGTTCGCAACGATTTTCAAATGACGAAATTATGGGACGAACTTTCCAAAGTTTATCTCGCTGGTCGTGGTCGGCATTGACATCAACAATATGAAGATTATTGCGCAAGAACAAGAAACGGGTGCGCGGAAGATTCAGTTTGTCGAAAAACTGAATTCTTGTGGCTGGTGACCAGTACATTCGTAGTCTAGGGTACTGAACGGCTCCCATCAGGATATGTGCTCCGACAATCTTCTTGATCTCTTGAGTTGATGCATCGATACATTTACCACTTGTATGTACTGAATACATGTTGGTCTTCTCCATCAAATCATCGAACACTGAGTCGGGAAAGTATTTGAAAAAGTACGTAAGAGGCGTTGGGATACCATTTTCGCCTTCGGAACTAACGTCATCGAAAGTTACATCTGGAGGTGTGAGCCTCTTCCTGGTCCAATTCAAATTTTTCATGTTCTCCTCCCGCAATTTCCTAGCTAGCGTTGATAATCGAATCTCGTCCAATTCAAGAAGCTCGCCGTCGTCACTGTCTTCTTCGATCTCCTCATCTTCGTGCTCCTCTTCATCGGTCTCCTGAAGTTTTTCGAACTCCTCGTCGACATCATCCTCAATGTCGGAGTCGTCAAGAGCTGATGATGCGGCTGCAGCTTCCCTCAAAGTGATTTTCCTTGATATGTTCGCTAGGTTTCTGTAGAAGCTCGTCGGCGGTCCGTCTTCTGAAAAAAAAAGAAAAGTTTCACTAAAGCCCGCTGGTGGCAAATGCGTACGGCAATTCTGAAGGTTATGGCAAATTGCCAAAACATGTAGACTCACAAACAACTACTACACATTTCTTTGACAACCACATACTAAACAATTACAATAGTGGTATGAAAAAAACTCAATGTTCTTCAAAAAAATTAACACCAACCTGCCTGATTGCGGAGCCGAGCGCGATCCATCGTCCCTTCGTCCACGAATGCTTCTGGTAGTGGGTGCACAATGAACAAAAATGCGAAAGGACGTGCACATAGAAAGCAATAGGCCATCTGGAACTACTGTAATCGAGAGTGCCAGGAACATGCTGTAGCGGCGTTGCTGCAGTCCTTCAAAGTTGGTGTTGGCAATTGCCACCGCCAGGTCCCAAAGGGTTAATGATTGTATCAGATATGGAGTTGTCTTAGTAATTTTAATTTGGAATCAGAAAGAATTAGCACGTGCATGTCGCACCATTTTGCGGCTTGGAAGGGGGGGGGGGGGTCTGGGAGCAGATCCAAAAATTTTCAAGAGGTCTTTTAGAAGAACATTTGAAAAAGTTTTGGCATGCTCCTCACATCAGATTTTTTCATGCAAAACCAACCAGTTTCCTACAGGATTTTAGGAACTCTTTGAATTTCTTATTTAACAGCATAACTTTATCACTCATATCATTAGGTCATTGAAGAACCTGAACAAGTGCCTTCACATTCTTTCATCAGCACTTCGCCGCGTTTTTTCTTTTTGATCGAAATGACATTTTCATACACATTTATAGAAAATCTCCTTACTAAAAGTCGACAAATATCATCTTACATTCAGTTGCTTTTTTACTCACGAAGTAGTATTCTACCTTAATTTTCGCTATATGTAGCATGCATGCCTTGCTTCTCCCCTGGCTCAACAAAAATTATCGAAATTGGAATCGATGTTTACTTTATAGATTCGAAGACGTTAAGTGTTGCAGGGACGATAACAGCATTTTATCAAACTAGGTTTCCCACTGATGCGTTTTTGATTGAAGAGTTACCAGTGTTCATGTTACTCGGGTAAGATGACGCGTTACCCTATCATGGGCAAAAACGTTTCAATCATCACTTGCAGCTTTATCAGTGGTATGATGGGTGCCATCTTCATCTTTACACATCGCCGTATATCCCTATTTCGGCAGCGAAACAAAGTGTTCAAAATGATTTTTAAAAACAAGTGAGTTTAGTTTTTTGATCATTGAAGTAAAGGTAGAGCTTGCAGTAGGCAATTAGTGCTATCGTAAAGGATTGTTTATCCAGTAATTTGAGGTCTGAACATCGTTTAGTCGCTTAGTCTGAGGTACATAAACTTTAGTTTTTATGCGATGTGTACGAAGCATTAATTTCATGTAAGGCCCCGGGCAGACTTCACGCGATTTGATCGTCGCGACTGAATCGCGACGAGACAACTGTTACAACATCATTCCATGCCGATCAACTTGCATTCGGTTGTGATACTTTTCCAGCCCGAAATTTTTGAATGTGAAATGAAAATGAATGGAAATCTTGGCGATTTGGTCGCGACGATTAAGTCGCGTGAAGTCTGACCGGGGCCTAAGGCGGGAGGAGGGGGGGGGGGGGGAGTTAGCCTAGATGTGTCATTGGAAGAAAGCGGGAAGGCAATATGTGGAAATAATAAGATCAGCTTTCAAATGATTTTTTGAGGTGTTGTTGGTGGCTAGACTTTGTGGCCTTGGCTTACAAAGACCTTTTAGAGAATAGTAGAATTTCCTTGTTATTACAGTAAAACACAAGGAAAATAGAGAGTAATAGAAAAGTCCTTTTCGGCATGAAAATTAACTTCCATCTCTTCCAAAATTACAATAATACAGTGATGCAAGCTGGCTCACTGGAAATTCTCATCGCTCATCATAAGTTGCCCTTACATAAGCCTCGTTTTCAGCTTTCTCATGTTCACAGTTTTTATGGCATTTGTGGTTGGAGTCCTTACGTATCCTCTGGGCTTCGGGAAGTTCATTGCTGGACAGGTTAGTCATACTTATTACAAAGCTCATTAAGAATGGTCTGCTGATGGATATAAGAACAACAATCCAGCCTCAAGTTTTTCTCTCAATCCCAGAACTGATAAATTTCCTCACCTAATTAGCCTTCTTTATATTGGCATTTTTGAGTATAATACATTTTAAAAATTAATTTTCTCAGATGTCTCAGAGCGAAGAGGTGGACACTCATAAATATGGACGTCAGCTATGTACAGAGCTGTTTTAGGAGGGGGCGGGGGGAGGAAGGAAGAAGTTTCGTATTGCATGAGCGTTCCTTGAGCGCCTTGCTGATGAGTTGCTTTGTTGGTAGTAAAAATAAGCTCTATGACGTCGGAGAGGGGAAGTGACGAACTCACTGCTGGCATCTGCGACTGAAGTCCTGGAGACTCTCACCAACGTCAGCAATAATAATTTTTCATTATATTGATCATGGTATATTATCTTTGAAAGACAAACAGAATGTATTAGGATTGCAAAAGTAATGTCCATTCTGCAAAGATTCACTCAGAAAAGCTATAACTTTGTCCAATCTTTCTATTTTTGGATATAGTTAGAACTATCACAAGCAGTAAACGTCCAATAACAATACACGCACCTGCTCATTCAGATCTCGCAAACAACAAGAAAGCCATGCGTCAAGAAACTCAAAATTTTCTTCTGAAAACCTCCTTTTTGAATAATTACAACTCCCTTTGAGTTCTGTTCTTATGGCCGTCGGCTTATTTTGTAGACGCAATCCTGTAGTACATATATGCGTGTATAGAACAGACTTCAACGAAAGAGTTGTGCGAAAAGAGAAGATAGGAATCCAAAATTGTTTACTTTTTTGAGACTAATGGTGGTAGTCCTGAAATTTCCAACTTACGAAAATTTAGAATTCCTCATGCACTGGATGTTCCTTTTCATTTTCATTAAATACGCTCAGGGATCTGAATAGCTAAGTTTTCTCGCAAAGTAATGTAGCTAAGATACTTGATCTTAAGCTACAAAAAACAATTGCCTTAATTATGGGAAATTTTTGACCCATAGAATGCCAGTATCTGTTCTGAGGCGTCGATTTCTCAGTCCACGTTCATCTGCGCCTGAATTGTGGCCAAGAAAGTGGAAGCAATGAAATTTTGATTTTGAGTGCGGATGTGCAAAATGCCGAAGAAATTCTCACAGAAGAGGAAAAATGCCTAGTACAATTCTCGGAAAGTACATAAAGAAAGCTTTTCAGTGATATGCAAATCTATATAAAAAAAGAAAGTTTGATGGAAACAAAGTCGTTCGAAAAATAGGCCTAGAAAAATAGATATTATTTTTGCACCTAACGATAGTAACCGCCCACTGTAAGAATTGATAGAGCATCTCTTTTACTTTACAGTTGATGGTAATTATCAGAATGATTTTAATTGTTCAGCTCACATTCCGAGAAACAATGGCAGATTTTTTCAACAACTGCACTTGGTATACAAATGAGACTTCGAGGCGGTGAGTTTTTGCTGGCGCAAAAATTGACCTCAGCCCCTGCTTTTCACGCAGAGAGCCGTCATCACTGATTACTTCTTGCATCACAAAACATCGAGCCAAATTTTTTTCTTTATAGATGCCCCGAACAGCTCATTCAGCACTGGACCGGTGATGGAGCTGTAACCATCTTCACATCACTCGCTACTTATTATATTGTTTACGTAAGTTAAAAATATTGATGGATGTAAAATATCAAAATTGATTTCAGTTTTTATTGGTTGCTATTTGCATCTCTATCAACGTTCCCGCCGGTGTTTTTGTGCCATCTTTTGTTATAGGAGCTGCAGGAGGAAGACTAGGTAAGCACATTAAGGAAAGTCACGGCTGTTGCCACTGATAGAGCACGAGATCCTACGAATTCGTTTAGTTGGAGAGATTATGGTATTCATTTTTCCTGAGGGCATGAGAGGAAACGTTGGCCCACCAATCTATCCTGGGCTTTATGCTGTAGTGGGTAAGTTTTGATCTATTGCACCACTGCAAATTATAACGTAATAGCTGCAATAATATAAGCTGCTATTGGTGAGAATAATACAAAAGTTGGTAGGGTAGCTGGATGGATCAAACAAGACACTTGAGTTGGAAGTAGGCTTGAGAGCCATTGACGGGATGGCAAAATCTTGCACCGTTTAGCTATTTAAAATAAAATGTGCAGGAGTAAAACATCTACGGCTAATTCTTCTCGTCTTATTACCCAAGAAAGTCAATTCGTAACTTTTCGTACATCTGAATGAAAAGGATCGAAAAAAGGAATTACTCCTTGAGAGTCCCAAAATGTATAACTTTATGGTACGCACGAGAGTTAGAAAAATAATTTTTCGAGTTTGTCCTCTCACTGAGACATACGTTCCGCACCCTCAAACAGATGTAACACACCATTTATTCGCAAGATACTTAATCTAGGTGCTGCGGCATACACTGGAGCAGTCACCCACACTTTGTCAGTCGCAGTGATCATCTGTGAACTTACCGGACAACTTGCACCAATACTTCCTGTACTGGTTCGTAAAAATGCGTCGCCTTGAAATTTTGAATGCCCTGGAGTGGGCCGTTTCGTAAAATCAATTTCAGATCGCTATGTTGATGGGTAATGCCATTTGTAAATTCCTGCAGCCGTCCATCTATGAGAGCATCATTCGCATAAAGAAATATCCTTACCTACCCGATTTACCTCCATCACGAATCAGGTAAGACTACTGTTAAAATCTCATATGAATCTTAACAATGTCTTTTTAGTGTGCACACAGTGAAAGTTGAACAAATTATGGTATGCGATGTGATCTACATTACCAAAGACATGACATACAGGGAGATGAAGGAACTACTGCAAACGGCACCACATCTCAGGAGTTTTCCCATCGTTACTGATCGCGGTGAGAATTCTGAAAGCATATAATCACATTCTATTGCTCTCCTCTGGATATCCCTGATTTAGCATGCAATCGGCATGAAAAAGCTGTAAGATTTTGTCGATATAAAAGCTTTCCTCACAATCAGCTAAGCATGAGCAATAGTCATGTAACTGAAATTCTTCAGAAACTTACCGCTCCTCTGACCAAGCTCTTATATATAGTCCTTTTTTCTTGAATTTAAAGCGCTGCTAAGCTTAAATAGCATGCGATACAGAAACCAGTGCAGATTTGTTGTTCCTTTTCACCATGTACTTCAAAGCTACCATTATTTCACAACGCATAGATAAATGTCGCAATTTTTGTTCAACACCTTCACGTCCTCGAATTCGCACTTGATTTTCGACTTTCATTTTGTTCCGCGATTATTCGTCAGAAATGCTCCTTTAGCTTCGAATTTCAGGACAAACATAGCCATAGTAAATACCATTGAGGTTCCTAAAAAATATCGAAGGCCAATAATATCATTAAAACTTGTTAACTTTGTGTTCTATCACAAAAGGGGAGATTTTCAATCCTTGTTGCACTCTGCACAAATATTAGACATCGCACTCTGTGGAATAACCAATTCAAGCGCTCACTGTGTTTCATGAGAAAGAGTTGAAACGGGAGAATTTCGCAACTCAAAAGTTGTCAAATAAAAACTTTAACACTTCTTGATCGAAAGTGTTTGTGTGCTCAAAGGCAGCGTCCGGGCAAATTCTCGACTTCTATTTTTTGCATTATCCAGGCCTTTTCACAGCGCTGATTCCAAATATGGCACTCAAAATGCGCGAATTTCTCAAAAAACCTCAGTTTTGAGTTCTGTGAGAAGCGTGGACGAGTGCTTCTATTGCAATCCTTGTCGAAAACAAGCACTAAGAGGGATAGACTACGTGTTTCATTGTGTTTGCCATGTGAAAACACGTCAAAGGCTGAGGAGAGTTCGTATAAGGGGGCGGGCGGTGCGAGGGAGTGGGTGTGGTCCTCGAGGCCCGCTGTTTTCTACTTCTACAGGGGGTGTACAAAAGTCGGATTTGCGCGATAGTTCTAGATCGAGGAGGTAGCCTCGGTTATGAACGTATCTAAAATTGTCCGAATTTGCCCGGACGCTGCCTTTGAGGGCCAGAGACAAAGGTTTACAGAGCTTTTAAGGAAAAGCCTTGAACTGAAAAAACATTACTTATCAAAAAATTTATTTCAACCACTTGAGATTTCCTCGATTTATTGCGACATCGAGCTGGTTTACGCTAGTAGTTTGAATAAAACTTGTCAAACTAGAACAACCTACATTCACTTGAGAATCAGAAATTTTCATTTAATATAAGTTTCATATACAAGGCCGCGTAATTTTAGCTTTTTCATTGCAGACAGCAAAATTCTTCTTGGATCTGTGGCGAAGCGTTATCTGACGATGTTGCTACGGCGGCATGTGCTCATCACTCAGCAGGATAGTCGTGCAAGTGTTCGGATGACTCCAACTGACATATTCAATTCGATTCGACGGACGAGCATGAGGTGAGAGAAAGAATTTTCAACAGTTTTAGGAAATTACAAAAATAATTTAGATTGTCAAAGCGTTCGTCGACACGTCGGTCAAAGGAAGCTCGAGAGAACGAAAGCACAAAAAGCGATCCCGAAATGGAAGTTCTCACTGACAGGACGTACAGCGGTAACACGTTGTTATCCATTTCTCCACTTCATGCCCCGAACTGTAAGTTCAATCATTAACTCAGGTGCTTTCAAGAATCACTTTCTCTTTTAGCCGTTCCATTACAAGCTGTGTTCACTCGTCCATCATCTGCTGAGTTGATGAAGGTAACTTTGGATATCGTCATTATATTGGACCACTCAAAAATAGCCTTCTTTTAGATGCATGATAAAGATCCGGAAGCTCTTCTTGATCGCAAAATAGACCTCGATGAAATCGCCATCGATGCTGCTCCATTCCAACTTGTGCTAGGATCTTCATTATACAAAGTGAGTTACACTTTCCCGGCAGAATTTCCAGAATCTATCTTCATTCTCTGCAGGTTCACACCTTGTTCAGTCTTCTCGGGCTTTCACATGCTTACGTAACTGATTGCGGAAGACTCGTTGGTGTAGTCGGTCTAAAGGAGGTAACTTCCACAAAACATAATATTTCTCTTTTCTCTAAACATGCGTACTTCTTGTAGTTACGGGATGCTTTGGCGAATATCTACGTACGAGGCGCAGTGGCTCCTGAGAGGAAACTCACCGCAAGCAATGTTCCGAACTTCAAGGTAAACTCAGGATTTTAGACTGATGCAAACGGAGAAGTGACTTCTCCGACAAGCTTAGCAGTGCATAATGAAGCTAGTTTCTTCAGCATAATTCCATAATTGACCACCTGATCTATCACTGGTCATGTTTTCATATGTTTTGTATTATGCATGGTTTGCATCTTTAGTCATCGACGCGCATTGGTTTTAAAAATAGTTCTGCTGCACCTGAAAAAAATGCTCAAAATTTTTTGAGAAAAGTTAAATTAAAGAAACATTCTTTTAATTATTTTTCCGTCAATTCCATTAACGTCGAAGCTTTCGATGTACACATAAATTTGAGAGATTCGATTTTTGAATTCAAAATCCCTCCGAATTATTTTCTACGAAATTCTAATTTGCCTTCTTGAAAAGACGTAAACCTTTTTTGTTCCCGATTATCCACTGAAAAAACTGGAACGATGAAAAAAAAGAACGAGGGGATTTTCTGATGAAAGAAAAATGCAGGTTGAAGCATCGCTAAAGAAATGTTTTTTAATTTGTACATTCTTGCAGAGGTGAAAACCATGCCAATGCATAGATTTTGTCACACTCAAACCTATATAAGAATTGATCATGACGCTTTGCCGAAGTTTCTAGAGTTTTCAGGAAAAAATGTGCCTTTTACACTGTAAAATTTGCCTTTTTGCCTTTTACACTGAAAAATCTCGGCGAATTCGCGGACTTCGCCGAGATTTTTCACATTCCATTGTCGTAACTTTTGGCTGAATATTCTGAATGTTCAGAGGCGTTCATGGATCGAGAGGCTTTTTGCCATGAACACAAATTCATCTACGACCGGTAACATTAATCCCTCAGAAATCCCCTGTATTCGAATCCAAACCGTCTCTAGTGAATTTTATTCACCTGCATGAGACCTTGGTTATCCATTTTATTTTCCGAACAAATACTCGTTCAGGGTAGCAATCATAAAATCAGCGATTCTGAGGAGACGAATGGCCTGATAGTGTCGACGGAGCAGCCGAGATATGGCAATACACTAACTGTGCCACAGTGTTTGTAGGGGTAGAGAAGCGAATTTAGGATCGAAAAGAGAGTCTCTCGTAACTTGAGGTAGTGCCCATTTTGTTGATGTTCATTGCCAGTAGTTCTCACACACGTTGTTCAGTTTGTTCATTGTTGATTCTAGTGATTCTAGTCACGGCCTAGTCATTGTTACATGTTGTATATAGTACTCATATTTATTTTGCTCCCACTGTAATGCTCGACGCACCCAGTCACACAAGTGCAACTCCCCTCAAGAGTGCAAAGCGTGTGCGTTGCAATAAGTTCAGTACTGGTTCTTTCATGAGCTTCAATCTTCCAGCCTGGTTGTTTTTGGCAATGTGCGTGCGCGTGTCCCGATTTGTATGGGAAAGTTGCTCACGCAGACAACTGCACAAACCGCTCCGAGCGGCACGATTCTAACGCCTTTGAGTCACGAAAAAGGAATAAAAGGCAGACTGAACCGCCTCGCTGTCACGTACGCGGGTTGAGCATTGTCTGTCAGTAACTCAACCACACATTCGGTGCTTGTTGGTATCTCAGCCGTATGTAAATTGCATCTATTTATGACTCATTCAACTTACACGTTCCAGCTTCACACAGGTTCCATAGCGTGCGAAATACGTGTCCAGTGTACCCATGCATTCAGATTATGGATTTTCTTCATCGAATAAAACATTTCACTTTGAGTTCTGAATTCACATGTCACACTGGGCGATTATTTGAAAAGATATAAAAGAGATCAAAGTTAAAAAGAAGAGATCTTACCCATCTCTAGCTTATATCTGCTTGTTTATCCGTTTAACTAAGTAATTATTCAAGGTGCACATGCAATGCGGTAATGACAGAAAATCAATAACGCTAACCTAGCATTTACCTGCCTTGAGATCCCCCCTTCTCGCTCGCCCAGGGTCCCTGACGGATTCGTCCGCCTTGGGTTAAGCTGGTCAGCCAGGCCCTGGTAATTTATTACATCCCCATGCGTTCGGGTAAGGGAAAAGGATCCCGGTGGAGCCCCACTCACTTCTTGGAGATGGAGAGCGACCTGATCATCCAGCAGGGGACAATGTGATCCAAGCCCGAGTGTTTTGTGTTCTTTTGGTTTCTATTTTTGGCACACTTTCGTGTTTTATAAATCTTATATATAAAGCTGAATGTCTGTTTGTATGTATGTCTGTCTGTCTGTCTGTATGTATGTATGTCTGTGTGTACGTATGTTCCGAATAGAAAATTCCATTTCTGAACCGATCGGGACCAAACTTGGCACACATACACTTCGGGCCCCGGCGGGTGTCATAGGCTACTTTTCGTATCGATCAATATCGATTTTATCGATTTTTTTGCAAAATTTGAGCTACGGGGCTGGGAGTTGGCACAGGGGGGTAAGTGAGCATGGGGATTCTGAATACAATATTAGTTTTTAAAATCGTGCATTACTTTTATCGATTTTATCGATTTTTTTGCAAAGTTTGAGCTAGGGGGCTGGAATTTGGCAGGGGGGTGTAATCGAGCATGCTGATCATCCCCACGGGGGTGATCAGCATGCTCGATTACCCCCTGTGCCAAATCCCAGCCTCCTAGCTCAAATTTTCCAAAAAATCGATAAAATCGACATCAATCGATAACGAAAAGTGGACTGTGACACCCGCCGGGGCCCGAAGTGTATGTGTGCCAAGTTTGGTCCGGATTGGTTAAGAAATGGAATTTTCTATTCGGAACATACGGCGGAGCCGGGTAAGCCAGCTAGTAAATGAATAAATAAATTTACGGTTTTAGTGTTTTCAAAATATACACAACGTTCTTACGAATTGTCCCGACAAGGTCCACTTTCGGCGTAAGCAGGGTTTAAAAATCAAATGTGATTAGAACTGGAAGATCCAATATAAGTACCCATTCAAACCGTTTGGGTGAAGGTAGGTTTTGACTCAGTTACCCTATCACCAGTAAGCCTTCAGAGTTTCAAAGTTTTCTAGCTGAATAAGTTCTCTCAGAGATGGATAGCGAGGGCGTAAAAGCAAAACGAACACAAGCGCAAAAGGGACTCGAGCAGAAAACCAAAAGCCCAAGAGAACGAAAACGCTTGGAAAGCAGTTGAGCAAAAGAGCAGAAAGCAACATGAATAGAAAAGTCTGACAATGAGGCAATCGGATAAACCGCTCGCAATAATAAAGTTATTCATCTACCTTGCTCTTGCGCTCTAGCTCTTTCCTCTTGCGGTCTTTTGCACTTTTGCTCTTCAGTCATCTTACTCATACTTTGCGCGTTTCTATTTCTAAAGCTCTTGCTGCCGGAGAGTCCGAAAGTACTCAATCTGTTGTGAAGGATATCCATAAAAGCTAATATTGGGAGCCTGTAGTTTGACTGACAACTTGTGAAAGGTCCACAGCTCTTGTGACAGCGTCACAACAGAGAACGAAGAGAAGCGATTAGTACATCGCAATCACAAAGGACGAACTTCAAAGTGAGTAGGAAAACATAGTGGTCTGGTCCTCCACGGCCAAAGGAAAAGAGGAGAGAAACTTGGTATTTACTGAAACAGGGACACGAATTTTTGGTCTCGAAAAGCACATATTACCTATCACGTTTGTAAACACTGCTGGGCAGTGCTTTTGTTATTCAAGTTTGGCTCCTCCACGAGAGTATCGTAGGAAAATCGGGTATGTATTTGTTGTGAGGTCAACAGGGACTTCGCTTCCAAAAAATTGCAAAAGCGACCTCCTGTCGATCCCTGTTCTTATGTTGCAAAAATTATGTGCCAATGCCAAATGCTTCTATCTTTCTTATCATTTTAGTTGCAAAGGATAATGACAGCAATAGTGGTTAAGTTCAGTTTATAGGATACAGGGCCCGGCACGAGCTGGCACAAGGGAATTTTCAAAACGAAGTCCCGTTTGATGTTGGAAATTTCGTACGAAGTCCCCTTTGACCTGTTTTAAAGACCCGTCATTATTTTCAGTTTATGTAAAGTATGTAGTAGGGTTTTCATGCATTTCATGGAACATTTCATCGATTGCTAATTTTATGGAATGACTTTTTACAGCTTTCTGAGCTTTTTAAGTGGTTGAATCATATCTTGAGAAGCAGAAAAAGCCGATATTTCGACTGCGGAGCAGACCGAGTAATTTTCGGATGGCTATAAAACGCTGAGAAGAAAACATTATGAAATTGTTTCTTCTGTGTATGTAAACTTTTAGAGTGTAGACACATTTTATGTAAAAAAGTTTGAAAACTTAAGCAAAGTGTCGGTGCCAGCTCAGTATACTTTGGAATATTCGAGAATTTTTTCGAATAATCGAATAACCAAATATATTCGAAAATCAAAAATATCGAATAATCGAATTTCGAATATTTTCAAAGGCAAAAAATGTCGAATATTCGAATATCGAATGTTTTCGAAAAACAAAAATGTCGAATGATCGAATATCGAATATTTTCGAAATAAGAAAATCGACGAATAATCGAATATCGAATATATTCGAAATGAAAAAATCCGAATAGTAGAATATATTTGAGAAAAAATCCGAGTAAACGAATTTTCTGCATCGATTATGTCGAATATTCAAACAAATTTTGATGGAATTAGCACAGTGAAGGACTCTATGCGGTGGGCAACTTGGACAACAAACGATGTTTGCTGATATAGCAGTCAAAATGGTGACGCTGTCATGTCGATTACACGAAATTGTCGAATAATCGAATAACTTTTGAAAATATATATTCGAATGTTCGAACATTTTCGAAAATCAAAATTTCCGAATAACCGAATAATCGAATGAATTCGAAATTGAGAACTTCCGAATAAGCGAATATCGAATGTATTCGAAATTTTGAAATTTTCGAATAATCAATTTCGAATAAAATTTATTCGAATATTTATTCGATTCGGTCCACAGTGTACAGCTCAGCTGGCACCCAGCTGGCATGTTGCCAGCTAATTCAGAAAAAGTTCAGCACACCTTTGACTCATATAAGCTTTCGTAAATTTTTGAGCCATAGTTCGGGTCCTCAACGCGCATGCATACACCAAACTAGGTTCATGCTATTGCGTTTTGGCTGAAAACAACGCCTTTATTTGTTTGATGGGCGGCATTCTTGCGGCTCTTTTGCCCGGGACCCCGGCGAAAAGTCCAGAAATGACAGTTGGGAGAATGTATGTGTATGACTCATATGATAATTGCGGTTGAGTAATTTTCATTTGTCGCAGGGATGCATGAAATTTGCTATGTTGATGGGGATGAAATTGGCAACCCTTCGAAGGTTGTTACTCAGTTGATTTCATATAAAATTCCATTATTAGAATGCCTTCGTGATGCAAGGTCTTTTTGAAAATTTCCAAAAATTTTGCACGAAGCGATTGGCGATTTCATATATACAGTGCTGGACATAATTATAAAACCACTCTAGAAATCGCCGTAATATTCGTTCCTGTCAATGAACTGAAACTTTGCTGTATTGTGGGCATGTCAGCCTACCAGGATCTCTCAGAACGGCTTCTAGTCTTGTTGAGTTTGAACGGAGAAAAACGAAAAAATTTGAAAAAGCCCTCAATGAAAGCTGGACAAAATTATAAAGCCACCTGGTTTTTCTAATCACTATCGCATTTGTTAACACATTGACGACCATGCAAATTTTTGCTGTGTGCCCTCTAGGACAAAGGACTTTTACGGACCAGTCCGCATTAGTCAAATATAATTGCGCATACTGTCATCTACAGTACGCCTGCAGTAGATGTGAAAGGCTGAAAATAACAATAAAGGTTTTCCCTAGACTCAGTGCAGAAGAAAGCTCGTGGAGTGTGTTTATCAAAGTATACAGTATTTATTTCAACAAAATTCAAGCCTTGGCACACATGGTGTGTCAAGCAGTCCCACGCGGTAGTCATTGCTTGACATATCATGTGTGTTAAGCGGTCGTCAGTTAACTCTCAGATTTTTTTGTACAATTACATCCCAAAATATGAAACATTTGCAACACCTACGGCCTGTCATCCTACTCAAATAGAAGCGATCGCTGCATTTTTTGCTTTCAAAAGCATCAAAAGTCAATCTGCTTTAACACGGAGCTGGTTTGAGGAGGTTTCAAGCCCTTGTTTATTACAAACTAGCTGCGGTTCCCGGTCCCGCCCGGGCCGAGAGTCCAGAATGGCCCAGCATAGGGTGTGCTTCAAGATATATACTTACCAGTCCTCCACTTTCTTCAGTTCATATATTCTGTTCTCTCCTGCTTCACCTCCATATCAGTTTTAGCGCTCGTGTAGTATCCGTGGTGAATAGTCTTCTTTCTTGTCCGGCTCGCTTCATGACACCGCATGCTCCTCACCGCAAAATGTAAATGATCTCTACCACCCCTTACTACTCACTTGGAGAAATGAATGGTATAGCCTTCATTTTCCTAGATTTTAGTAAACAAAATCAATAAATCGATAGAAGGACCCAGCGAATTGCCGAAAAAAGTAGCCTATCTTTTGCGCCGTGGCTTGTTTATAGGGAAACAAAATTCAGCCTCTTTGGTTCACATACAAAGGAGTCTATAAGCCACAAACATCCTAACAAACACGGTACAGTGTTTGAGTTTTATATATATACCAGTGCGTCACCTCTGCTTCGCAGAGGCACGCACTGGCCCTACTTTCTGTATGCCTTACTCATTTGCGCATAGTAATAGCACTGAAACTCAC